GATAAAATAAATCTGTTAATATAGTAAATTTAAGTTCATTATATATTTAAAAAATTTTACTTGCCCAGAGTTAAATTTATTTCTCTGTTTAGCATATTGTAAATTTTTGTATAAACACGTAAAACTTCATTATCTAGCGATGTATTAGCCAATGTTCTACAAGTAGATAGGCAATAAGCTGGTCGTAATTGTTGAACAAATTCAACAAAAAAAGGATATTCTACAAGACACCAAGAAAGTCCACACAAACAAAAAGTTTGATAAGAGCAAATCGATACTTGTTTTTTGTTCATTACTTAATGCTAAATTTTCAAAATAGTTATCAAGATTTTGTTAATCTTCTGTCGCCTTTCTTTTATGAGTAGTTTTAGTTAATGCTTTTTCATGTGCTTCTACCATATTTCGTACAGCCTCTCTAACTTGGGGTTTAACTTTTTTGCAATCAACTAAAATATGACATTCTAGAGCAGAGGGTCTTCCTCTTTTCCAAAAAATACCATATTCACAAGTAACTGAGCGATGACCTGAATCTATTTCTTCTCCTACTTTAAAAAAACTCCAAATTGGTGCACATGGCCTTCTACCCAAATTTTTATTATTCTGATCTAGATTCTCTAGCTTACTATCTTGACTTGGAGCTGAGTTCTCTAGCTCACTATCTTGACTTGTCACTGGATTTTCTAGCTCACTATTTTGACTTGTCATATTGATATTTAATGTTTAAAAGAATCTAAAGAAATATAACAAAAACTTATTAGCGAGATTTTATTTTATTAAAATTAATCAAAGCCCTATATAAGCATTTGAAATTAAGATCGAGTGTTCTATCAACTTTTGAACATAAGTATATTGGGTAACTAGTTATAACTAGTTGAAGAAACAACATGTCTTATTTCCATAAAAATAGTTCTAAATACAGATCAGAGTTTGAATTTAATAAAAAGTATTCTTACTACATTTTTTATGTATAAAAAAATCCTGTTATACAGTGTTAGTATACATGCACTTTATGAAAAGTGGCTTTGTTGATCATAATAACTGTAAAAATTAAAAATTTTAATTATAAATATCCAGATTTAAAGTTTATTTATACATGATTATACTAAAACAAGTTATTTTATACATTTATGTATACATA